AGCTGCAGCAGAAAAGGCTCTCTGCCTAGACCCCACCAATCGAAATTCCTTGACTGGTGGGCTCTGCAACCTGCCCCTTCTGCTGGACTGAGTGGGGCGGGCTGAAATGACCGGGGCGAGGCGGTTCCTCAGATAACCTGGTCCTGTGCCATGAACTTTCAATGGGAGAGGAAGTGGCCTGCCGCTTTTTCCTAGCCCAGAAGAATCAATCACTGTTCAGAAAGTAACTCTAAGTGCTTTCTCTGTGGGAGCAAGCCTTGTTCCTGAGGGGTGCTAAAAGGCAGGTTGGGGGGGGGCAGCAGTTTTCAAAGCAACAGACTCCCCCTCCCCCCTCAAGGACAGGAGGAAAGCACATGAACATGGGTATGAGGATGAGTCCTTAGTCCTCCGTATCACTTGGAACTGACCAACTTTCCTTTTTCATTAGCCGTCTTGAGGGCTGATTACAAAATAATGGAGAAATGATTTTGACTTTACTGAAAAGAATGAAACATTCATATGGCAAGCGCTAGGTTAAGATATGCAAAATTAGGCTACATTGTACCTACTTTTGTGGATTGTAGCTTGAATATGCTATGTGTCCTCCAAGTGCTAAAGAAAGGGAGAAGAAAATCTGGGTGGCTGCATCAAGCCATGCACGTGGATTTTTTAGGATTTTGAGCTGTTAAATACATTAAAAATAAAAATGAAGTAGAAAATACTGTAAGCCCCATTAGTAGTCATCTTTATGTTATGGTCATTGACCAGCATTTTGTATAATTACTATAAGAGGTTACAAGGCTCAAATTAAAAAGCATAAATGTTTCTAAAATCAATAAAAGAAATAGTTCACTATAACACTACAGGTACAAAAAACCTCACTAATTTAAAAACTACTTCTAAAAATAAACCTTAAATATTAAAAACTAATAGGATTATAAAACTTATTTATGAATAAAGTACTAAAAACATGCTAAGTGCTATGCATGCTATGTATAATTCCTAATTCCTATGTAAAGCAATAGCGGCTAGAAAAATTTTGCAACTTTCCTATAGATGTTAGGGTTCTGGTCCAAAAGTAAGAAGCAAATGAAGCCATCCTCAGAACAAATGAAGAGTTATAAAGGTAGGCAGAGGTTGCTGTAGAAAGCACATCAAAGAAATATACGGGCTACGGTTTCAGCTTCCTCCAGGTCCCAGGAGCAGCCTCAGTCTGCAAAGGGTATATTATTACATCTTCTTTCCAAAATTGCAGAGGGCAAAACATCCAACCAAGCTAAAGAGAAAGCTCTGCAATGCTTTGGGCAGATAATATTAAATATTTTAATATTTACCAGTTTGCTGGTATGAAAAGTTTCCTATTTATGTATTACTAGTATTGGGGACCTAGTTCATCCTACTCTTCCTGGAGAGCTGTGACAAGCTCCCATCACCAGACTGTAGTTCTAGCTCTAGATAACCCCATGGCCAACTCATTAGTATCTAATTGTTATTTTGCATTTGTCACTAATGGAGTCCTACTTGAGAATAAAAGGAGGTCTGGTATATTTCATTTCAACAAATTAAAAACACTACAACTTTACTGTTGGCTAGGTAATGTAAATCCAAAGGTGTTACTTTTTTTTTTTAAGAAGGGATAGAGTGAGAGAGGATATTAATCTCTTTCCCTATCCATTGATCCACTGTTGTGTTACTAGGCAATTCAGCCAAGCTCAGAACTTGTTTACTTGTAACTTATCTTCCTTTTCGTGAGTTTGGATCTACAACTGCATACATCATGAGCTTTAGAAAGCTACCCTTCTTATTCTGCATTCCCATTCTTCATGACTTCCAAAGGACATTGGAGATTCTTTAGGAGAACTCCCCCCCCCCCGCCTCCCAGTAAGCAGTACTGAGCTTTTCAGTTGTTTCCTTATGAAGGCAGATGGCCCTTAAACCACTGCTAGAAAAATCTATTCATAAATAAGAGGCACAACTTGAATCCCAATTTGTAGTTAAAACACAGGTGCGTATGTAGGTTTTCCTCAATGGTTATACTCATGGGGTGCAATAGATCATCGGCTTTTCAGCCTGAGCACTATTTTGATCAAGTACAACCCATCATATCATTATTTGGGGCCAACTGAGACCTGGATTTATAAGTAAGAAAACAGGAACAACAAATCCAGAAGCCTTAAAATCTGCCTAGCATCTGAATAAGATGCATTGGCAATTCTTGGAGTGGCCCAAAACCTGATGCAGGAGTATGAAAACTATGGTCCTTCAAAGGCTGTTGGACTATAGTTCCTGTTATTTCTAATGACCGATCATACCAGCGGGGATTGATGAGACCTTGAGTTCAACAATATCTGGAGGGTCACTGGTTTTTCCCAGTTGCCAATTAGTTGCTCTTGCTGTTAAGCACTACTTTCTGCCCACAGGCCTAGCCAGCCTTCAGTTAATGTTATTAACGCTGATAGGGTCCCAGCTTCTCTAAATAAGATATTAATAGGCATAATATCTATAGATGTGATTACATACTTCAGCACTTACAGATGATGGCTGAGATACAGAGGATCACATTGAAAGAGCTCCATGCATGTGTTAGAGTTTCTGAGTCCCCCACACACACTTCCCACCACCCCTGTGCATGGCTTCTGGCAGCTTCAGTTGGTAAACATGCTCATTATGAATCACTCCTTTCTGAAACATAATGCCACTGTTAGAGGACCAGAAGTCTAGATCAGGTTCAATAAAACGATAATTAACTCGTAATAACAGCTGGAAATTCAAGAATCAGTGGAATATACTTGCATCAGGAGTGAAGAGATATACTAGCCCTTGAACAGCTCCTGGGAGAGTCAGTCCATAAATAAGGAATACAGTTAAAATTACATATGGAAAAGTGGTTGTAAGATAAATTGCCTGCAAGGGGGGAAAAGGAGAAGGAAATAATTCAAACAGATCATCACTAGAGAGGTCCTAATTAATGTTCTCATACCAGCCCAGCCATGTTATTCACACTGTGGGCCAAACTTTCTCCCAACCCACAAATCAAGCTGCTAAAATCTGGCTATTTTGCCATTGAATTTTAACAACAAAATGATGAAGTCCTGGGGATGCAATAAATGGAGTGCTGAGGGAATGCATGTGGGCTGCAGGTGATCCACCCTTCCATGGTGAAATCAGACACTCCTAAGTTACATCTCACTATATAATTACTGAGGGGTTGCAGTAGATGAATTGGAGTGCCTTGTCTGAGAAGGGAACCTAAGCAGGGCCAGGATCAGTTAGCATTTGGATGGTACACTATTTGTAAGCTAGGGTTAGTCAAAAACCAACCAGGACGAAGACACCTCTCACCTTTCCAGTCGATTCAATTCCTCGAATTGTACAGAGGTAAACAATAATCCAGGAAAAGGCCAAACATATGACCAACCACCAAAGAAAAGGGCCAGTCTGTGTGATCCCTGTGCTGATGTTCAGTGTGTGTCTATACCAGAAGTAAGTGGATTTAGAGGTTTTATGACATTCTTCAATGAGCTCTAAAATAAGAGACAAAATAAAATTAGACTCATAGAGGTACTAATCATTCACACTGCTTCATTCAATCAAAGAGGAAGTGCGTAGTAGAGGTTTTTCAGTGCAGGCAGAAGATAATATTCTGTTTTTGAATGCCCCCTCCAAGTTAAAACCACTAAATTCCTTACATATTAGTTATATGGTTAGTTAGTGTACCACATATATAATATTAGTCACAAAATAATTATACACAGCATGCATTCAAACAGCAACAACTAATTAATGCAAATGAATATTAGAACTGGTGGTGTGCAAAACATTTGAATGTGACTGCTTTGAATTCAGAATTCCCCATTTCAGGTTTGAAAAAAAACATTTCACATTTGCATGTTTCTATCATTTTGGAAGTGTGCTATGCTCAAAACACTGTTTCAAGCTCCAAATACTTCCAAAATGGTCAAAAGAGACCATTTTTAATGAAAAACAACTGTTTCATTTAAAATGGTTTGAATTCATAATATTTTGTACACCCTTGTTAGGCATTGTGCCAAGCAGAATCTCTCTCCCACAATGCTTTTCTACAGTACAGTTTACTTTTTATTATTGGAACGGATTGTTGAGTTGCATGTTATCATAACTTCCTAACTACCATCACACATTTTCTGGGACAAACATGTTTTTCAGAATGGTCCTATGGCAAACCTCAGACCCCAAACAGACACTGTAATGGGCTGTGAGAATGACTTTGAGGAACAGGAGGAAGAGACACCACAAAGACAACAGACAGATAAGAGAAATCTGAGTCCAGAGCAGAAATGTAGTTTGAGAAAACATCTCAGACTTGACTCTCCCTAGTTCTCTTGTAGATAAAGGAGGTGCTTTCAGACATGCAAGATTCTATTACTGTAATTCTATAATAAAAGAAGTAGTTTTAGGATCCATAACTTTGGTTTCCAAGACTGGTCTACCTCAAAGAGCTGACAAGCACTTTTGTCTTGTTTTTTATTTTTCCCTCATTCTAATGAGCTTCTTTGGTGCATGAGCATTTGATACCCATTTTATCAATGGTATCACCGGTACAAGAAAGGATATATCTTTTTCCTGTTGCTAGAATCATAATCATTTTGTAGCTAATTGAGGGCAAAGGCAGTCTAATAATGGCAAATGAACCACCTTAGCCAATTGCCTCTTATCTGCAATTTATGGCTGGTTATTTTATTAGCATCTAGAAGTTTATTTGCTTGAACAAGGGCAACAGAGAACAGAATAAAGAATTGTGAGTGTGCCAAGATCATCATAAAAGTAAAAAATGGAAAGAGAAAAATCCAGGTTAATGTTAAAGATTAAAAAGAAGAAAAACACTATCAGCTTGCACACTTAGTGAATTCATGATGCCAAAGAAGTGAAGTTTTGTTTTCTTGGGCTCAGGAATAATAGATGTAGGTGGACAGTGTGCTGGAGGAGACTAATCCTAGGGAGGAAGAGAATAACAAATTTAAACAAGGTCATGAAGGAGAAGGACTTTTCAATGACAGCAAAGATCAGAATAGTTAAAGCAGTGGTCTTTCTAAGGGTAATGTATGGCTGTGAATGCTGAATATGGGGAAAGAATGGGGTAAAGAAGATAGACACCTTCAAATTATGGATTTGGAGAGTACTAGAGTACCATGGGCTACAAGAGGAACAAATCAGCTAGTCCTAGATCAAATGAAGGCTGACTGTTCTCAGAACAATATGATCAGCAAGCAGAACTCACATATTTTGAGTGTGTGATACGAATAGATGATGGACTAAAAAATTATTAGGCTTGGGAAGGTTGAGGGAAATAGAAGACAATGGATAAGGTAGATGGATAGGTTCAGACATCTTACCGGAATATCCTTAAAAGTGCTATGAGTTCTTACTAAGAACAGATTAAGATGGTGAACATTGTCCATGTAGACCTTAGGAAACAAAGCAAACTGAATGGTTGCTAACTAACTACTTATCTTTACATGCAATGAGGCTCAAATTATAAATACATTTTCCTGATATTTTGTTTATAGATTATATATGCATGGACAAAAAGAGGGCAGTGAAGATGAAGGAATTTTTGCCTTTCTGTAGAAGCAGCTGCAAAACTGCAGAAACAATCAGTGCTATGGGATTCCACGCATACTGTTCAGTTTTGTTTAAGACTGTAATCTTACTTTCTTCTGATCTGGAAATAAGGGTACTTGAATTCAACTGGATTCACAGCTGAAAAGGGATATAGAAAATCGACCTGTGCCAACAACAATTTACCTCAAATCTCTAGTCATAAAACGTGCTTCCATAGGTGACTTTGTATATGCCAAGAAAAAAAAAGAATCCATCTACTACTGTATTACTTATGTGGCAATTTTATAGCTTAATTATCTGTAGAGAAGCTGTAATCTTATATATTCTTACTTGGGAATAAGAAACATATAATCTAGGGAGACTTACATCTGACCTGGAATGCAAAACAACAAATTATTTTAGATGATGCCCTTACTTATTTCTGAGTAGGTGTGCAGGGACAATGTATGCAACTGATGCCCTCATTACAAGTTGCATGCTTGTAGCACTTTAATTATGGATCAAATTAGAATATGGGCCTTTAAACCTTTCTTAGATGGGGCTGAAAAGTTCTCTCTCCCAAGTGTGAATATAAAGTCAGCCTAAAGAAATCACTTTGGGCATGTCTTCTTTGGCTGGAACTGTATGAAAATTAGCCTTCGGGGGCTTGGGAGACATACTATGTGCCCGAAGGGGAAAGTAGGAGCAAAAATAGATCATTGTGTTCTGTGAGGCACATTGAAATAACCATGTCCCTATTTCTGTTTCTGCTCTAGGATTGTGTTGAAGGTGTAAGGCACATCTAAAGCTGCTCAATTTCTATATGGGCGCCGGGTTTACTGCTTTGATCGGCATCTTTTCCATGTCCAAGATATCCTGCTTGATGCAACAAAGGCAGAAGTCATCCATGAAGAGTACAGAGAATGAGATGTTTAAAGTCCATTATGACAGAGCAGAAAGAAAACTGAAGTCTTATCATTTATCACTTTTTACCATTTGTCTCCTAATGGCACTTGTTGGGGATCTGAGGCCTAGGCTGAGAGGAAAGTGTGCGTCAGGAGTCCTTAACCTTTTCAGGGCAGTGGACATGCTTGCCAGATTTCAAGAACTTGTTACTTGTCATATTCTTAAAAGATGGCTGCTATGAAGAAGTCACCAAACACCGATTTGGCAAAAGACCAATTTCCAAATGTTGCCTCCCTCTAGTTTCCCTCTCCCAATGATCCCTGCCACCTTGATTTACCACTTTGATCCAGAAGTATCCACAGGGGAGGTATAAACAAACTCAAGAGGGGAGCTGCAATCATGTGATTGAAATCCTACCCCTTTTTAAGTGCCTCACAATGCATACGAAGCATTGAGCCACCCAGAGTCACCCGTTGGGGGGAGATGGGCGGCATACAAATGTAATAATTAATAAATAAATAAATGCTAAAAAGGACTAGCGAATTGTTTGCACAGTCATCTTGACCTTTTTGACCTTCCCTGAAAACACCCCTGCTTTTATCTTTTTTCTGAGATGTCAGGCTCGGTTCCAGACAAAACACTAGATGGTGGGTACCCACCATTTTGACTTTCAAAAATAAACTCTGTGATTTATGATGGATCTAAAAGTATTAGGGGGTAATGGGAGCATGCTGGAAGCTTTTTGCTGCTGTTTGCTAGCTTGCTGTTTTAATTTCTCATTTAATTTAATTTTTAAATCAAGTGGGATATGTTGCCCAGCAGGCTCGAAGGGAATATTGCTGATCATATTGATCAGTGTACCAGGCTAGGTGCCAAGTTCTTTAATACTGCAGAGTCATCAAACTTTGTAGTGAATAATTATAAATATTAGGCAAGGTTAAGTATGCTTGGTTAAGCTAATCACACACTGGACACAAACTGTTGGTACAGTAGTGTGAAAGAAAGAAGCAGGAGTCATTCTTCTCCCCCATCTTTTTTACACTTCCAAGCCACAGCCTGCTCCCCAACACCACCTTCCCCTCATAGTTATGTGTTTTGTCTTACACGCTCAGGTAAGAATTTCTTTGTGTTCATTTTGGAGTGGGGCAATGGTGGTGGGATCTGTCTGTACAGCTGTGCCAGTACAAGACAAGAGAGGACCAGTGCAGGACCCCATCAAATCCGGCATGTTATGGTGTTGGGGTCAAGGATACATGTAAAATGTCTCAGCTAATGAATAAAAGCAGTTAAAATATAAAGAATACACACACCCGGTTTGCTGGTGTCTTGTGGACAGATACTCCAAGGCAAGGGATCTTGGAAAGAGTTTCCCAGGTACCACAACACCCAGGCAAGAATCATATTATAATAGATGCTGATTATGAACGATACCATCATGCAAGCATAACCTACGGAACAAGCAAGCATATATAGAAGGACATTAACAGCAGTACCAACAGACCGTGTTGGGAATTCATTCAGGCATATTGCAAACGTTTGATTCACACCATGAAAACTCTCGTTCCCCACAGACAGCTATAGAACTGTAATATAATATGTTTATATGAGCTTAACGTGTCGAAATAAATTGTGCATTTACTATTCAAGTGAAAGCTGTTGCAAACTTCCTGTGATTCTAGCTTTTGTCAGAATGTTACTGCTTTTAAGAAGTCTCATCAGAGATGTCTCTTTTTAAACAAGGACGTTATTGAGAAGCTGATTGTGATCAGCCATATTCAGGTGTGGCCAACATGGGAATCTGGCAAGCATTTGCAAATGTATGTTATCATTTGACAAGCAGAGCATTAAGGAAAGTTTTGCAGGAGCGGCAGAGCGCCAGATACTTTATCCTCTCTGATTTCAAGGCAAATATAATGCTGTTAATGGGCCCAGCGCATGCAACCTGGCTTAGGTCATCATGCACAGTTCCTGCTTAATGATTGATGGATTAAGCTTCAAGGCCGCCCAATAATTGAAGTTCCCTGGCTGGCATAGAAATCCATCAAACTATTTTATTAAAAATAGAAAAAGTATAGCAGTAGACAATAAAACAACAAGTAAGATTTAAAAAATTAAGAGCAGCAATAATCATCACAATTAATATTGTAGAAAAATCACTGTAATAAAAATAGTAGAACGACAATGAAATTTTAGCAACACTGCAATTGTTTTTTTTAAATGTTGGGAAAATCAAAAGGTGTCGAGAGGATCATGATTTGCCTTTCAGAGTGAACTACATGGGTACTACGTCATGCTATCACAGATAGAACTTTTCACATTATCTGAAACGCAGCCTTTGGGGGTAGCTCATACTGCTCATTGGTGGGTGGCTGTCAAATGTGCAAAAATCAAAAGTAGCAAGCAATATCTGAGTATACTGTATGTAAATTGGTCTTTGGTGGGTATCAAATGAGGAGTGTTCAGGTGTTAGGAATGGACAGTGGACTTGTATAGGTGAATTGATGCTCCACCATCTTCTGAACATTTCAAGATGGGAAGACTACAGCAACACAAACCAGTATATTCCCAACAAGACAAGGACAAATCTGTAAATTTCTGCTTCAACTGTTTTCTTATTTTTTCAAGTATGTTAAGTTTGGCTTTTGAACCTGAGAACTTTTTTCAAGTGTGCATTCAAGAGCATTAATTTAAGTAAGTACGTGTTTTCGTGTGCATTGCTGCATATATATATATATA